GGGTCCCATTTTAGTACCCCTAGATATAGGGTGATGTATTGAAATCTATAATTGAAGGTGCCCATAATTTTGAGAACAACCCATATCATCCTTACAACCCTCAGCGGGATGCCTACCTGTCTCTGGGGCCCACAAAAGGAGCCCTAAGTTTTGGACACCCTCACCCCATAGTATACCTATACATCACTACATACTCGTACCCTTTCATGGTGTTTTGCGAAAATGGACATACCCCTTATACGCCCCAATATACTATAGTCCACCCTAATAGGGACCCCAAGTTGTTAGAACCCCTCATGTGCACATTTAAAATCTGTCTCCCTAGACCCTCTAAACTCAAGGCATAGGCCGCCCACCTACGATGGTGGGCGGCGCCTATTCGCCCTGAAACCCTTTGTCTGACCGACCTACGGTAGGCCCGGTACCGGAACCGTTCTCCTTGCAACCAGTACTGGTTGCTTAACAAAGTAATTACCCCAAAGCCCAAATTCTTCCCCCAGAGCTAGCTACCTGGTTTTTCCAGGATGGATCCTGGGGGGTCTGGGGTCCAGGGCCTCCTCTGCGAGCGAATTTCAGGACCAGGTTCTGAGATTTTCAGGGGCTTCCCCAGAACATCCCAGAACCCTCCCAAAACACCCAGGAGCCTCGAAGGGGCCTAATGGGGTCCTCCCACCAGAGGCCTCCCAGGCGCCTTCCAGGAGCCTGCCAGTGCAAAGTGCTCTCCGAAAATTTCCAGGTGCCTTGCGGCAGGCCTCTCGAGGCCTCCCAAAGACCTCCCAACTTCCTAAAAGCCTCCAGAAACCTCAAGTACTTCTCCTCCCAGGCCACCAAAGACAGGGGCTTGTGAGGCGTCTTTCACGTTTTCTCAAACCTTGCGACGCCCTCACTCACCAGCACCACAAGGTTGCTAGGCCTCTTCCAAACCTCTTTAAGCCTCCCAGAACCTCGTGCGTAGAACAATGAAGAGGTGTTGTTGTTGACCAAGATGGACCTAACTGAGTTTAGGTCCTAAACCCTCAAAGGAATAGGTTTGGGTGGTTTGGCCGCCTCAGACGGCGTGGAGTGGGTGATTGTGTTAGATGGCCTTCTACACCTCGCATGCAGCCATGCACTTGAAGGATCATTGACCTCAATCATTACATCCTGCACGGCAACATCACAGCAAACCCTAAACCGTAAACCCTACACCCGAAAAGGAAAGGCTGGAAGCTGTGCAGCGGCTGCCCAGCAGGCAGCGGCGACACTGGAGATGGCAAATGCAAATGTTCCCAAGGACCTGTTTAGGTTAGGGTTTCGGGTTTAGGGTTTAGGGTTTCGGGTTTAGGGTTTAGGGTTTCGGGTTTAGGGTAGGCTCCTGGGATATTTCATATTTTCCCTAATGGGTTTAATAAGGGACCCTATATACTAATATTTTTCAAAGGGTTTTAGGGGCCAACCCAAGGGGTTTAGGGTTGAAGGTTTGGTTTCCGGTTTACGCTTTGAGGCTTAAGGCTGAGGGTTTAGGCCCTACAGTTAGGATTTAGAGTCTAAGGATCGAGGTGAGGTGTTAGAGGGTCATCAGTCGTAGTTTTCAGCGGAGTTGCACGTGGGATGTTATGTTTTTAGCCTTCTGTTGTGGTTGCTTCATCCCTTTAGCTATGTACTTCCAAATAAGAAGGAAGGAACCGCTGTAGCAGTAATGATTGTAGCTGCGATTCAAGAAGCCGGGCTTTCATGCCCCAACACCCTGCCCCAACCTATGAATCCGCATGAAACCGAGAACCGGAAAGCCCAACCCGAAATCCTGTATCCCACACCCTGGTCCAGAATGGCGAACTCTTGTGCAGATCCCTGAAACGTTGAACCCCAAATCTTAATCACCAAGCCCTCAGCCCCTAGACCCTGGAATCTGAAACCACAAAGCCTTTAACAGCCAGAGGATTCATCTGCAAGAACCGTAAAGAGCGCTGGCTGCCTGTTCTGAGCTGGTCCATCAGCTGGATCCAAAACTGCTCAGCCAGCAACAATTCAGAGGCGGGCGTCATAAAGGAATATGCAGGAAGTTTCGGAAGAATATGGGGGGGGGGGGGTTCACAGTCTTGTTTACGGTTTGTCCGTGCGGGAAGCCTTAGACCACGTGGCCTGTCAGGCACATTTCCGACCGGACGAGGTGGGCATCCAGTGTGTCAACCAGAGGAAGGAGTTCACAATCTACGTTGCTGTTATGCTCTCGGGCGCCTTTGAGATGTCAGCGATGCTTGTACTCTCTGCAGTCCACTACCTCTTGCCGCTCTCCCTTGGCTTGTACCTCAGTGCTGTCATGGTCTTTACCATAGCAGCACACTGCCACTTCGAGCCACAGCTGCATGATAAGATCTGCACATCAAGCAGACACCAAGTTCGCTTGCTTTCTCTAGTTCTACCGGTCAGTTGAACGAGTTGTCATGTCTGAAGGATGTGGAAGCATGGCAATCCAATATCCGCGCCGGCTTCTTGAAGTTCATTGCCACCTCGAACGACTTTTGGTGCCGCCGACGTGGAGCACTTGTTTACGCAATCTTCACGTTTTTGCTGATGCTGGCTTGTGCTTCAGCATTTTTGTTACCTGCCGTGTCAACTCTGCAGAAAGAGGTAATAGTTGTAACAGTAACAATACTAATCATAGCAATAATTGTAATATACGTAACAATAGTAATATGGTAGTTTCCCAAAAGAAGGAGACCCCCAATATAGACCCCAATATAGTATAATCCTGAATATTAGGACCCCCAAAATGGTACCCCTAATTTTGGGAAAGCCCCATATATGTAATATCAGTAACAAGGGGGGTTAGGGCCAGAGAGAAGTTCAATTCACAACTCGGGATGCGTCGACTCTATCCATATAGTAGCCCCTATATGAACTATAGTCGAAACTCCTTAAAGCGGGTTATATAGGGGTATATAGGTGAGTAGTATAGGGATACTATCCTAGTTTAGACTGTAGCTCATATAACCCAGTAGTTTCCATTTCCTTTTCCATCCCTTAATGGGTTTTTTTGGTAGTTTACCAAAATCAGGGGACCCTGATATAGACCCCGAAGTACTATAATCCTTATTGTAGGGAGCCCCATGATGGTTAGATAGAGAGAACCAAAATAAGCCATTATAGTAGTTTCCACTTCCTTTTCCATTCCTTCATGGGTTATCAGAGAGAAAACCCTAAACCCCTAAACCCTAAACCCTAAACCCTAAACCCAGGCCTACCCATTAAAGTAGCTTCCATTTTCTTTTCCATTATCCCTTTTTAACCCCAATAGAACCCTATATACCGCCTATAATCCCTTTAGTTTCCATTTTCTTTTCCATTATCCCTATATACCCTAAACCCTAAACCCTAAACCCTAAACCCCTAAACCTAAAAACCCTAAACCCGGAACCCCTAAACCCTTAAACTCTAAAAAGCACAACCCAGGATGGTCATTGCAATGTTTGAGGGCCTTGGTTTGCTCGTACTCTGGCCAGGAGGGATATTCCTTCTCAGCTCCCTTGCGACTGGTCTGGTTTAGGGTTTAGGGTTTAGGGTCTGCAAAGCCTCAGGGTTTAGGGTTTAGGGTTTAGATGGCCCCTAGAAGGGTTATACCGATGCTATGTGCTTTTACAAGGGCTTGCCTTGCAAACTTGGCATAGTGTCCAGCCATAGTATGCCTCGAAACCCTATTCTGCTTGTTTCGGCCACCTGCAGGTTCCTAAAATTGTTACCTTCGCCCTCCCTATGAGAATACGTTTGTATGAGCCTAGTGAAGCTCACCTATGCCTTAATTGCATACCCCCTAAGGGACCGGAAACACATAGAAACCCTACGCCGTAAACCCTAAACTCAAGCAACCCATAAGCCGCTACAAACCCCAAAAAGGGACGGTACTCCATCTCCATGAAAATCCTTCAAACCGTTTACGTCTCACCAGAAACGCCTCCTATACACCCGTATAGCTCTAAGCCTTGAAGTTAGCAACCAAACTCACAATATAATCCCAATATAACCTCATATAACCCTAATATTGTGCCAATATAACCCTCATACAACCCTAATATAACCCTCATATAACCCTAATATAATCCCAATAGAACCCTCGTATAACCCTAATCTAACCCTAATATAATCCCAGTATAGCCCTAATGTAACCCTCATGTAACCCTAATCTAACCCTAATATAATCCCAGTATAACCCTAATGTAACCCTCATATAACCCTAATATAATCCCAATATTACCTTAACAATACCCTAAATCACTGCAAAACACCCCAGGCCATCTATGCCTGGCACCGCCGTGTGGCCTTGGCGGCGGAGGAGGACATGCGGTGTATTGTTGGTTCGAAGGGTTGAGGGTTTAGGATTAGGGGTTTAGGGTTTAGGGTTCAGGGTTTAGGGGATCTTGGGCCAGTTAGGGATGCAGGGTTTAGAGTTTAAGGGCTTGAAAGGGTCTGGGCTCAGTTAGGGATTTAGGATTTGTGCTGTTTGGAGGTATGGGGTTTCTGGATTCAGCCATCTGGGGATTTTTTTGTGGAAGCTGTGACATTTGGCAGTTTCCTTCAATGCAGAGACCCCAGCATGGACATAGACCATAAAGCATTAATCATCCTTACTGTAGGGACCTCCCCAAAAAAGGTACCCTTAATCTTAGGAGGCTCTGAGCCCTGTAAACTGCTTCTACTCGAAATTTGCATTTCATTTTCCCATTTTCCTTTCCATTTGATTGTCTTTTATTGTGGTTATTGGGGGCGGCGGGGTGATATACTTTCATAGCCCTGTATAACTCCAACGTAGCCCCGAACCCTAAATCCCATGACAACTCTCTCTCTCTCTCTCTCTCTATATGTATATGTATGTATGAGTATATATACATTCCCGTAAACCCTAAACCCTACGTATGTATATATTTATGTATATGTATGTATGCACATATATATATACACACACATACCAACACACGTTCATTCTGTGAGTTGAAGCATGGCAAGCCATCCACCATCCCGGGGCCTTGCCAGCAGAAGTTCTCCTTGCTACATGGTTTAGGCTTTACGGTTCAGGGTTTAGGCTGCAAAAAAATCGGTTTTAGGGTTCAGGGATGGTGGATACTAAATGCATGACCCTAAGTACCTTATACGTGGCAAACAATGGTACTCAAGTATGCTAAGGTCATGCAGGACTTTTAGTATCAGCAGGATGTATGGGGATTATATACATATGTATATATACGCACGCCTTTTGGGGGGCCGTATCATGACAGGGACCCTTACAGGCCCCAACATTTTTGCTTAACACATGTAATTGGGTATGCCCCGGCGGGGTGAGCTTTGCGACGATTTGGGTAAGCAAGGTTCTTCAACAGGTCTTGCAAGTTGACAACAAGCTGTTTCTAAGGCTCCTTGGAGTTGTGGTTTCCTGTAACTACAGCTCATACAAGCCTGTGGTAGTAGTAGCTCCACCTTTTAAAGGGGGCCTTTTGATTCGAGGGAAGCCATCAACACGTGGCCTCCATGGACTTGAAGAAACCAAAGACCGGGAGAGCGCTGAGTTTCCCAAACCTTTCTTTGACGGAGCCATGCCCAGTACTTTGTGAGCAACGTCCCAAATTCAGCCTGCGCCCCTAAACCGTTCAAAACATGAGGATACTGAGTAGGATCCATAGAAGAGGCATGCTGAAAGGGAAAGGTAATTTTGAGACGCCCCCGAACCCTAGCCGCTTAGCCTCAGTGCCTGCAGCTGCATAATTTCGAATTCTGCGCGTGGATGCAGGCGCAAAAGGCACTGTCCTGCTGGAGCTGGGGATGTTGCTTTTGTTGCCTCTTCTGCTGGAATCCCCTAGGCACGGTCTCAAAAGAAGTGTCGTCCTTTACTTCCCAGAGTGGATTGAAGATTTGCTAGCATTTCGTCAGCACTCAGATTCATAGGGGTTGCATGGCGCTGCATGGACGAGGAGGAGTCTGCCTAATAGACACGGGGCTCCCAAGGAGGGATCCTCTTGTTTGTCCCTATCAGGTTCTTGCTTGCCGCTGACGACCTCCGAAACCTTGGAAAAGGTTGCTGCGCGAAGCGCCGAGCCGAAAATGCAAGAAATGCAGGAGCCACTGATGTCTGAGAGTACACCAAAGCAAGACGGCGAAGTCGAGATGAGTTCGCACTTGGGACGGCTACTTGCAAAATCAAAAGAGGAGCTCGACGCGGAGCAGAAGCAGATGCAGCTCTTTCAAGGCCTCGTGAACAAATCTGCCCCACGCTTTGAAGAAGATGCTTCTACTCGTCCAGGCACGACCATGCTCTGGCTTGCCAAATGGACCGTCCAGCAGCCCGGGGATGAGAGCTGCTTCAAGAAGGTCCATGCGGCAATGGTGGAGCTGGGCCCCATTCTCTATGCCTTCCTGTGGTCCCTGGTGATTGCCAGGCTTGCCCTGGAATACTCAGATGGGTTTATTTGGGCCCCACTCCCGATCCCCAGTGTCTTTGGTGACTTTGCGCCGATCCTGGCGGACTATGACTTTGACCTCGGCATCTTACATTGAAATTATATATAGGAATTATGTAGGGGTTATATTGGGGTTATCTAGGGGTTATTGGGTTTATAGGGGTTTTATAGGGATTATATTGGGG